CAGATATAATCTCAAAGTAGACTTGAAAAGCCTTTAAAAGTGACAACTGAACATTAATAGACAAATACTATCATTGTTGTTGTTGTTATGTGCCGTCGAATCACCTGCGACTCATAGCAACCCTATGACAACAGCTCTGAACTGCGCCCTGTCCTGAGCCAGTCTCACTGACTTTGACATATCTACCCTCATTGTCCCAGTCACTGTGTCAATCCATCTCATATGGAGTTTTCCTCTATTGCACTGTCCCTCCACCCTTCCAAGCAGGATGTCCTTCTTCAAGGACTGGTATGTGAGATGGAGTTTAAAAATCCTAGCCTTCAAGGAGAAACTTGGTTTACCCTCTCCAAGACAGACTTACTTGCTTTCTTTAAGGTTCATGGTATGTTCAATACTCTTGTCCAGCACCACAACTCAAAGGAATAAATTCTTCTGTCATCCTTAGTCATTGCCCAGCTTTCTGATGCATAGCAAGTAACTGAGGAGACCATGGCCTGCATCAGGCATTTCTGAGTTTCTAGACTGACATCACTGCTTCTCAGTACTCTGGAAAAGTCCCTGACAGCAGACTTCCCCAGTGCAATTCTTTTATTGTTAATTTTTTTTTTTATTTCCTGACTGCTGGTACCAAGAGTGTTGATTGTATAGCTAAATAAGCTGAAATTGTTAATAACCTCAATTTCCTCTCCATCTATCATGGTGCTGCCAATGGGCTCAGTTATGAAGATCTTTGTCTTCTTGATGTTAAGCTTCAATTCATATTGAAAACTATAGTCCTTAACCTTCTGTAACAAATGTTTCAGGTCCTCCTCAGTTTTGCCAAGCAAGGTTGTATAATCTACATAGCCCAGGTTGTTGATGATTTCTCTTCCAATCTTTATGCCACAGTCCTCCTTATAAAGTCCAGCCTCTCAAATAATCTGTTCTGCATATAGATTGAAAAGGTATGGATACATAACACATACCTGATCATCCCTGATCACTTTGGATTGACATTTTGGCTGTGCAAATTCAGTGCAAAATTAGAAAGACAGATATGGAGAGACAGAGACAGAAACAGAGAGATTACAGTAGTCCTGATACAGTTTAACACATTTAAGGAATGGAGTTCAGCTGTGGAACTTGGAAGAACACATTCAGAAAGTAAACTCAACTCAACAGCAATGAGTTGGAACTGACTAATAGCTGACCCTTCATTGAGTTTCCATAGTTATAAATTACACTGAAGGAGCTTGCCCATCTTTCTACCGAGGAATTGCTGGTGGATTTGAACTACCAGAGAAGTTTGGCCACTAGTTAGAATTCCAACTCTCTTTATTCGGAGAAAAGTGAAAGAAAAGTAAAGCTATGCATAAACAAGAGTGATTGGGTAATAGAAGTTTGATCTGAGTCAGAATTAATGCTATACAATTTTGCCACCCAGAAAATTTATCTTATTCTTAAATATACAAGAAAATAAAATAATGTTGATTTTTACTTGCATATAAAATTATTTCTGTTGAGACACCAATAATTACATGACAGAAGTTAATAATATTCAGCATTCTCTGGAAATTGAAAGTAAGAATTCAATAAATGCTTTCCTTTCAATAAATATGCCAGTATAATTTTGTAAAGTAAAAGTATTATCATTTGCTTGCCAGGACTTTGTTGTTTCAGGAAATATATCTTTTCCTTAAATAAAGATGATTCAAAGTCAATAAAAATTTCCGCACAAAGAAAACATCAGGTCCAAATAGCCTAACAGAGAAGTTAGACCACATACTTAAGGAAAAATGTTAGTTTTTCATAAACTCTTCCAAACAATAGAGAAATGCATGCCACTACACTTTATGGGGTCAACATTTTAAAGCTCAAAATGAACTAGAACTGTCCAATAAATAAAAATTGAGTAACAACTATAATCTTAATAAAAAATTAAAAATAGTATAAAGTAGATAAAATATCTTTTAAAATTTTTAAGGTAAATTAATTCCAAAACCCCTATGTGCATTTTAAAGTAAATTAATTCCAAGAACACTATGTTAGCTTAATACTAGGAAATCAATTAAGGTGATTTACCATGCTATTTAAATTAGGAAAAGTATATGTCAAGGTCATATTCTCTTTCCACCCATGTGCAATGTATATTATGAGGAAATAGTTTGAGAAGCTGGGCTATATATAACAAGAGGACTGTGGCATCAGGATTAGAGCAAGACTCATCAACAGTCTGTATTAAGTAGATGATATAACCTTACTTGCAAAAAATGAAGAACACTTGAAGCATGCTTATTGCAGAAGAGCAAAGACCTTCCATATGGGTTACATCTCAACATCAAGAAAACAAAAATCTCCGCTTTTGGACCAACAGACAAAATCATGAGAGATGGAGAAAAGAATGAAGTTATAAATTATTACCTTTTACTTGGATCTACAAGAAATAATCATAGTATTAACAGTTTTTTTAAAAAAAATCAAGAAATGTAGTGCTTTGGGAAAAAGATCTGTTGTCAGAAAAAGGAGTTCTTTTAAATTCTAAAAAGAGAGAATGTCAGTTTAATGATTAAAGTGCACCTAACCCAAGCCATGGTATTTCCAGTTATTTCATATGCACTTGAAAGTTGAACAGTGAATAAGGATGACAGAGGAAAAATCAATGCCTTTGAATTGTGGTGTTAGTGAAGAACATGACCTATACCATGAAATGCCAAAATAACAAACAAATCTGTATTGAACTAAGTGCAACCAGAGTGCTCCTTAGAGACATGGTGAGTGAAACTTACTTTGGGCATATTATCAGGAAGAACCAGTCCTTGGAGACAGACATCATGCTGGGAAGTGTAAAAGGTCAGCAAAAGAAAGGTTCATTCTTGACAAAATAGACTGTCCTAGTGGCTACCACAATGGACTTGAACAAAAGAGACCATGAGAGGGTCACAGGATGGAGCAAGGTTCATATTTGTTCTTCATAGAATCACTGTGAATCATAGTTGACTTGATAGCACCTAATAACAATATTAAAGACTAAAGACAAATAATTATTTTAATTGTTTTTGTTAGGTACCATCAAGTATGACTCTCTGAAACCCTATGAACCACAGATCTGAACCTTGTCCTATCCTGTGCCTTCCTTATCATCTACAATTCACTTGAGTCCATTGCTACAGTCATGATGTCTATCTCACTGAGAGTCTGTCTTCCTGTCTTTCACTGACCTTTCCAAGCATGTTATCCCTTTTCAAGGAGTAGCCATCTCATTTTTTCACAACCTCCAGCTTTCCTATGTTCATACTTCATACACTCCATGCACTAATTATTAAAGGGTACTTGCATGTGTTTCTCTACATTTTGTGTGAGTTCCATTATGGACTCAACATGTAAGTCTATTACTCTAATGCTCATAGGGTTTTCAGAGACCTGTTATTTTAGAAGTGGATGGACAATACTGCTTCCTAGTCTGTCTTAATCTGGTAGTTCTGCTGAAATCTCTCCACCATGAGTGACCCTTCTGGTACCTGAAACACTGGTGGTGTGGCTTCCCCAAACCACAGCTACCCACAAATTACCCCAGCACAGCAAACTAACAGATAAGTGCTGTGTTAATAAAACATAAAGATTACAGAACTAAGCTAAAAAAGAGCAATATGCAAATTATTCCCTCAAACTATGAATTTATAGGTAGATGTTTTACTTCTAACAATAAACCATAAAATTATGAAACACTTCATGAATTTGCACATCATTCTTGAACAGGGGCCACACTAATCTTCTGTGTATCATTTTAATTTTAGTATATGTGCTTCTGAAGTGAGCACAATTATTCTAATAGATGCAGAAATCTTGTAAGGACAGTAAATTTTTAAATTTTTTTTCTAATTATTTTTATAGATGCAGATTTTTTAAATTCAATATCCTTACACACTTTTGAAGAATGTTTTAGTGTATTAAGAATAGCATGACATTTTCTTAACTTTAGAAAAGGCAAGTAAAAACAAATAGAAAATGATAAAACATCAAATATAAATATATAATGTTTAATAGCTCTATAGTACCAGTGCCTTGATGATTAGGGATACCATAACAAAATACCACAAAATAGGTGACCTTTAAAGACAATGATTTATTTTCTTACAGTACTGAGGGCCAGAAGCCCAAATCAAGGTTTCAGATACGTCAATCCTTTTGAGGGCTTTGAAAGATTTTTCATGTCTTTTTTCCCATCTTCTGAAGGTAATCCTTGGTGACCTTTTGTCACATGTGTACAAATCCATATGACTTCTAGTCCTTCTTTGTATATGTGTGTCTGTTTCCATACCTGCCTTTCTCTTTCCTAGTCCCAGTCAAAAGATATTAGGATTAGGATACATGCTACTCCAACACGACTTTGATAACTGATAACTGATAACATCTGCAAAAAAAAAAATTATTTTCTCAAATAAATCTGTATTCACTGGTGTAGACCTTGTAACTTCCAAATATCTTTGTAATATGTTTCAATCCATAACAAGCAAGAAAAATGTAAAGATATTTGTTAGCGTCACAGGTAATCACTCATTAACTGGACTGCCTAGCTACTATCTTAAAGCAGTGTAAAGAAAAGCAATAAAAAGGGAGGTGGAAGGGAAGAACCAATAGTAGAAATGATCATGCTCTACCATCATTCTTAATATTCACTTAAGGAGTTTGTACTCCTTTTCTCTGCAACCTGTAGGTTTAGAGTTTCTGGCTTCAGAAGAGCAATACTTCCAGCTGGGAAACATGCTGAGGGTGTGTGTGTGTGTGTACATTTGATGTATTTTCACAATAAACACAAGACAAGAATACCAGGATTCTTTTGGGATGAGGCTGATCCTAAAGAGAAACTCACCCTAACACAAGGACAGAGTCGCAGTATTGAGAGATCTTGACTGGCTCAGAACCCTCAGTATGAATATAGAAAAGATGCATGAGACTACTGAATGGAAATGTGCACAATGTGTAAAACACAGACATTTAAAAGCCCACCTCGGTAGCCCGCCCCTGGCTCCGCCCCAGCAGATTTGGCAAGACCATGGAGGAATATCATCGCCACTGCAACGAGGTTGGTTTTAATGCTGATGAAGCCCACAATATTGTCAAGGAGTGTATAGATGAGGTCTTAGGTGGTGAAGATTATAATCAAAACAATATCAACAAATGGACAGCAAGCATAGTGAAACAATCCTTAGCACTTTTGGTTAAGCTGGGGAAAGCTTATAAATACATTGTGACCTGTGCAGTGGTGCAGAAGAGCGCTTATGGCTTTCACACCGCCAGCTCTTGCTTTTGGGATACTACATCTGATGGAACCTGCACTGTAAGATGGGAGAACCGAACCATGAACTGCATTGCCAATGTTTTTGCCATTGCTATTGTCCTATAATTGAGAAAAAAATGCTAAGTCAAAGCCTTTAACTTAAACATTTGCCAGTGTATTCTTTCTAAAAAAA